TTAAATGAGCCACGTCATGCACAAGAATTTGTTCATAATGACATTTTAGATATTTTGAATAAAAATTCTGTCTAGTCACAATCTTATTCCAACTAGCAAAAATGACATTTGACATACTTGTAATTTTAATTTTTGATAGTCAAACTCAGCTATTAAATATTAAAACGAATTGCCAGAAAAATGTAACAACAGCATTAGTGCAAATGCATGGAATATGTCGATGATGAGCTGCTGTGTATGTGTAGACTCTCCCCAGCAGATTAGAAAGTAGCACAATAAGAACCGCTATGCGTCCGTGAGGTCTACATCTGTCTGTGTGCGTCTCTGCAAGGAAGTATAATAAAAGGTTAAATAGAACTGAATACATGTTGACTGTCTATGTATTTCAGAATATCTCCAGCCCTAATAACAGGACATATCATTCTGTCTGTTTGGTAAACTTCGGGCGGACAGTGATGGGTTTCGGAGAGCAGCAGCTTCCTCCATTATGGTGCATGGTTGTATGGAGCTGTTACTCTGAGCCTCTTTGTCCTTTTGTAATCATCGTAGCGAGGCACAAACTCTAGGAGGAGTACTAAGTTTTCTCCATGTATAGACAATTTGAAGTTAAATGTGGTCTCATGAATATTAAAACTCTCAAAGATTGCATCATAACAATTTCCAGCTTCACACAAATCAGCAATTTGTAATTGTAAGTCTTGTCAGATTTCTTTTTTTGCGAGGCAGCTTTAACTCGCTGTACTTACTGTAGGTGCTGTCATATGCAGCATTCCTTTAAAATCAGGGCTCATTACCTGCTTGCTTGGTGCATTTACTTTAATACCTGCAATGTTGCCTGCAAATGAAGTGGTTTAGATAATCGGATGCAGTTGTTTCCAAACTCCAGTATCACTTTGATGAGTACATTGTTCCCAAAATGATGGTGAAAACTACCAAGTCAGACCAAAGTTGTAATAAATCAGATTTATCTTTTAGGAATTGGAAATGTTTCGAACAAGGAATGAAAATACATCCTTTTATGGCAATAAAAAGTACCTTCAGCTGCACATCGTGGACATGAAACCTCAAAGTCTAGCAATCAGTGATTCCTCCTGTGTCATCACAGAGCCACAGGTACAGCTTGATGTATTGTTCTGTTACACTGGATTCAGCTGAACTTTCTGATTTGAAGGTTGACACAGACCGGACTGAGTCTTGACCTCAGCTGCAGATTGCTGTCTGCTTTGAGCGAGACTCGCCCGTCCTGTGACCATTCAGCCTCTCAGCTGGGGTTACTATGGTAACCCGGCTAGCAAAATGAAACTGGCATTCCTCGCATTATTTCGCCATGTTCTGATGTGTGTATGTGTTATCTAATAAAGACGACCAGCACCGCACAGAGAAACATTCCTGTCTTCGGGGAATTTCCCTTTCTGTTTTACCTCACTGTCACACACGTGTCACTTCTTGTCTTCTGGTTGTGAGGTCATTCGGTCAGCAGTATTATCAACTCCACAGCTCTCATAACACTACAGCTATGTTTATAGCAGCACATGTGAAAGCACACGTTTCTTTATCGGTGCTTGAGTGAAAGCAGCAGCATCGCAGGATTTGACTCCAAATAAGGAGTCATGAGAAAGAGCGAATGGATCTGCATTTGTTAATTTGATCATTGTAAATGAGCTTTAATTTGTATGAGGCATTCATGCAGAGGCAGCTGTGTTCTTGTGTGCAGTGTATTGTGAATGTGTGCGTGCAGTCGTGTGTCAGGAAATCCTGAGAGAAACATAGTCTATTGCTACAGCTGCAGCTGCTGGGGGAATCCGGCTCTGACTAGATGTGCTGTACAGTATATCATTGCTGAAGCTCTAGTAAAAATGTAATGTTTCTCAGCTGTCAAATGGAATAACTTGCAAGCCTTCTCTCTGAACCACAAGCAGTTCCTGAATGTCTTGCTGCTGTAAATACTCACTAACACGACACTATGTAATAATCTGCAGCTTAAAATAATGCCCCAAACAAATACATAGTTTAATTCTGTTTTGTAAAAACCATAATTGAAAATTGGGCTTTTTTAAAATAAGGTTTGTAAGATAATAAGTGACACATTGTTATAAATTTGACCCCAAATCAATTGTTAGTGTTGAAACAATTAGTCACCCAACTAATGTAATGCAAAGTTAAGCGACGGCAATTTTTATAATTTAATTCTATTGAAGTCACTTATCAGGCAAAGACATTAATATGTCAGAATTTCCTGCTTTTTCTGTTTTTACAGTCAAAAATTAGCAGGTGTAGAGCCACTTCAGGCTGGAAAATTGTAATGGGCACGGCTCATTATTTTGTGATGTTTTGTTTTTTTTAATCCAGAACCAGATTCACATTATGAAACAAAAACCCCATCTGCAACAAATAAATACAACTTGAGAAAATGACTATATCAGTAATGCATCAAAGCAACACTAAGATACAATTAACAACATATAAGGATCCACATAATACAAACAAAAGCAAAAAGATCAATGGCAAAGCAAAAGGATCATTTTTTAATCAATAACAAATATCATAAATCAACAACTTGTTGCAAATTCAGTTAGCAGCAGTGCTTCTGTATACTGTAACATCGACTGAACCACAAAGTATTTTGAATGTGTCTCTACTTAGAGGGTAATTAGGGAATATAAATGGATGATTACTGTGTTATTGTGTGCCTCCCTCTTTGGCCTTGTTTAGTCCTGTAGTTTTTCCCTCCACTCCCTCATGTTTGTGTTTGTATGTCAGGAGTGAGTAGATCTGGGAATCCTTCACGAAGAAAAATCATTGCTCAAAAGAGACGACTGGCTGGTGGCACAACTTTCACTGCAACAAAGAAAAACATAAAACTAATATACTTCTCCGCATGCCCATTCGGCAGGCCAAGTTTTTCTCTCTCAATCACTGAGTCTTAAACACACACACACACACATTCACATTCCTCCATCCACACACCACCTTTCACCCTGCAGTGGTACCCCGCAGCGCCCCTGGGATCTCTTCAGATGCCAAACCCTAAACATGGACTTTCTGGGAAGTTATTGTTTCGGTTATTTATAGGGCACAGTGGTGCTGGCAGAGCGGAGCAGGGGAAGAGGGAAAAAAAAAAAAGAACCCTCCTTTGTGTATTTTTATGTCCCCCGTGTGTGTGTAAGTTTGAAAGTGGGGGAGAGAGACATTGTGGTTATATATGCTCCATAGGGTTTTGCCTGTGGCTTCGTCTGATATTTATATGTCATGTTTGGTACCCAAATATTTTGGGAATCTCCCCAGAGACCCCTGAGATAATATGTCTGCCTTGTTCCATGAACCGTTTACTCCCCCTTGTTATTCTCCCACCTCTCTGTTTTTTACCATCACACACACAGTTTGTCACAAGTAACAAGACGGGCTTTATCACTCTCTGTCCAGGACAAAGAGTGATGGATTGCACCTTTCTAGCACAAACTATTCCTTAAATGTTGTGAGAAAGCTGATGGAAAACTGAGTTGAAAGTCGACAAGAGGTTCATTGATTTTGGTTCATCTCCCAGCTTGACATAAATATATTATAAAATGAAGTAAATACGTGTATTTGCTGCACAGCTTATTGCAAACAAGTCATCTCTTTCACTTTAATCCTGTTTCCTTCTTGGCCTTAGTGTTTTGGGTTTGTTGGAGTACCTCATTCACTTGCATCCATACATCATGAGTCATTGTTAGGGGGAGCTGCTGAGTCATGCTTTGCTTGTGTGGACTTCCTGGCCTCAGTGACCTCTCATCTGGCCTGTGTGTGTGTGTTAGCTGTGAATGTGCATCTGTTTTATATTATAAAGTAGCCCCACTGCTTCTCAGATGTAATATTTAAATCAAATAGTTCCAGGGATTTAAAGTCGCAGGAAGCATAAAGTCAGGAAATACTCAGTTTTACCTTTTGCTTATCTGGAACCATGAAGATTAGGGAAATTAGGCTGATGTGGGGGGATGGTTTGTGAAGTAAGTCTTGCATACAGCGGGACAATAGCAGTGATTGTGGTGTTCTTTGTATTTAAGTGATGAAAAGGAGACATGCAAGGGTAAGATGGGGATGTTTAAAATGAAGGAAAAGCAAAAAAGGCCATCTCCAAAGTACAAAAAAACTGCTGAGTGTGCTGTTTTCAGTTGTTTTTCCCACTTGAGCTGTAACAACAAACTGCCATATAAATTGAAGTTTCAGAAATATTTGTCTGAGGCTCTACATACTATGGATAGTTTTATTACTTAGATTTTTAATTTGTTTCCGTACTTGCCTCTCACACAGAAACAAAAAGTCCCTACATTTTTATCACATAACTCTTGGTCACAGATAAACCACAAATGGCCTCACAGTTGTGCCAAGAAGCAGAGAGTTTGTTTTTGTTTTGTTTTTTTAAAGCAGTATTGTTTATTTTTGGCATAAAAGAAATAAACATATACAATAAAGTGATTTTGGTGAAATATCACAATTTTAGCTTAGGTTTGGTTGTTTTTCCAAACTGAGTGGCACATCATAGATAAGTAGTTCAAGGAGCATTTAAATTTCCAAAATCAAATGACTCTGTCTGTTTTTACAGTTTCTGGCTCTGATAAATTATGTAATTTTGGCACTGTGGGTTCATATTGAGACTCATTAGAATTTAAAATTTTGATTTTAAATGCCTACTCTTTTTGTTTGACCTTTATAATTTATAGTCTCTTAGTTTGTTCTTCATGTTAGTTATATCAGCCAATTTCCGTCTGTAGTCCCTCGGCAGGTGTTTTTTCATGATCCACTGGAAATGTGTGCATTTCTGGGAGTGTATGTCAGTGTTTTCATTTCTCATTGTGTTTGTTAAGTTTTTTGAAATATGTACTGTGTCGATATTTTGTATTCTTAGTAGGAGGTTCGTAAAGAGATTCATGGCATAAAGCAGTAACAAATGTGAGTTTGTGTGAGAAATATGACTCTAAATGATTAATTTCTTCTTTCCTCTTGATCTTCTGTCTTCACAGGACATGAGGAAACATGTGATGATGACCCTCCTGGACACAGAGCAGTCATATGTGGAGTCACTACGCACTCTAATTCAGGTAAGACAGCACGCGCTCAAACACATGACTGCACACACTCGCATTCAAATAACTCATACATGTTGTTTTATAGATGAGATGTGTTCACTGACACCCTTTTTTATCGAGCTGTGAGCGCAGCACACAGACATACAAAAGCAAACACGCACAAGATTGAAAACCGCTGTGGAATCACAGATTGCTGAGGATATGAATAACAAATGTAGGTAACAAAGGTGTTACGTAATCCACTTACTGTCATTCATCCTGTCAGGCAAATCTGCTAACCCCATCACATCTGTCATCAGCATTATCTGCCCACACACACACACACACAAATGCACACACACACACACACACACACACACAGTTCGATATCCAACACGTATCTCTGCTCTAATAGCTGACTAACCTTTACCCCAAATCTGATCCACACCCTCCTCCTCTCTCTAACATACTCACACATACTGTCACTTCAGCTGCCTGTACTCTCTCTGTTGTGTAACCTGTCGCTGTGCGTGGGAGAGCATTGTGTGCATTTTTTACAAAACCTGCATGTGTTTATATCTGTACGTGCACATCCCACGTGCACGCTGACTTTGCTTCTGCCTGCACATATGTTTCTGTGTATGTGTGTGGCCGCAAAAGCGAATAATCCTGCGCCGCGTTCCCATGACGACAGGGGGAAAGTGTTACCACGGTGACTGCTGTGAAAGTGTGGATCCTTGAAGGAGAGTGTCAGATGTGGTTCAGCTGAGACCTGCTCTGCAGCAGTGCTGTCCAAAGTTGACATCCAACTTATAGATGTTTCTTTGTCTGTGACTTCTGTGGAAGGTTTCTGTAAATAACATATTCCGATTTCATGATGTACCTTAATCAGGGTCAGGAATTAGTATGAGCTGTTATTAAAGCTGCACAAATTCTTTTAAAAATAATTTTTTTTTTAATTAACATGTATCAAATGATCTAATTTACACTTAATAAAGTTTGTGCAGATTGATGAGCCACCCGTTTTAGAAAAGATAAAGTGTAAATGCATTCAAGGAGAATTCAAGACAGTCTGAAATCCAATGCATGTTAAAAAGATGTCAACTCATCCGTCTGATCAAGACCCATGCATAATCTTTGGTTCTTCCCAGTGCTGGGCAGTAGCTGTAATATTAATACTTTCCTCAGTAATGAGTAGTGTGACAGATTACAGTTTCAAAATCAGTAGCTGCACTGCGGTTATTTTATCCCAGTGGATTACCAGGATGTGGTTTCTTTTTTGACACATACACACAATGTCATGTCTGGTCACATAAGCTACAGGTCTAAAAGCTATAAAGAATGAGAGATGAGGAGGAGGGAGATACTTATACTCTCAATAGCTTGTCATTTTCTCAAGTTTGTCTCAGTCAAACATGCAAAAATCATTTCTGTCTGTTGTAAACCTTGTGCCAGCAGCAAAATGCTTTCCAACATGAAAAATGCAATATTTTCTTTTATTAAAAAGTCTGATACAGCAGCACAGTATCAGTGTGTCAGAACAGGAAGCGATAGCGGAAAGACCTTAAGTGGACAAAATCTGCTCGTCGCTGGGTTTATTGTAGAGGAGATGTCACCTATTTCCACAGCTGACTCACCCTCATTTCAACACTTTACAGAGGAGCTAACCACAAAGATCAGTGTCAAGCCGCCACAGAGAAAGATGTCGAATGACTGCCTTGAAAGAGAATGTGTGGGGATGGAGTCTGATTTAAAGGCCACACTCAGACTTTGTTTCCACCAGAACTGACTGGATCTGGACAGCTAACAACAACAAAAACATTCTGGGTGCATATCACTTTCTCCGATGTGGTGTGAGCGAAAACTCCCTCACACTGTCATTTTACTT